ATAATATAGTTTATATGTAGGGGTTGGGATAATTTTTTCTAAAGTTAATTGATGCAGTCTAGCTTAACTGGTATAGATAAAGACACGCTTATGCTGGGCTACAGGGGCGAATTCAGACTTTTAGTATTGTGGGGTCAAAATTTTAAAAATAATTTTTTTAATAAACAACATAATATAAATGAAAATAAGTTAATATGTATTTTAACACTTTGAAAACGTTGTATAATTACATCATTATTAATATTATTAAATAAATTTTGCTACTTGTATAGTTTTGTTTATTATTTCGTTGGTAAATGTTAAGCTAACATTGAGTAAATTAAATTGAATAGAGAAATTAAATGAATTGAAATAAAATTCAAGTTTAGTTCAGGAAATAAATGAAATTAAAATTTAAAGCATACATATATAATTCGAAAGTAATTCAAATTGCATTTAATCCGTAACAACCCTAAAAAATTTACGTCATATTTTATATAAGACTTCCAAATAAAATGATATAAATTATATTGAAAAATTTATTGTGCAAAAATAATAATTAATTGAATTTTTTAAAAGAAAAAATGAGTTAGATGTCTTTTTTGAGGTGTACGTTTGATATATATTTAACTATTTTCGATATCCATTTGGACCATTCGATATGAAAACGATGTAGTTTTCGAAACAAACTTTTACATGGCATAGACGATTTGTGGATTCAGATAGCACATGATTGCAAAACAAAATTTTAAAGTTAGGATATTGTCGAAATTTTCAAAATATTATTTTCAAACGGCCTACTTTAACATGTCATAATTTTTGCTATAATTGACCACTTCGCATGTCATTAATGAGTGAAAAATTAGGCCATGAGCACTTCGAAACGGTATTAAGAATGCAATATTTTTAATTTCATTTGACATCCCGACGAGTGCATCAAAGTAGATTGTATAAAAAAAAAAAAAAAAAAAGAGGGCAAAATTTTGTGGAGTCATTTGACCTCACATGACCCCCATGTGGGTCCACCCGTGCTGGGTTATCATCCAACCAACTTTCTGTTTGTTTTAAAAATTTTGTTGCTGCACAAGTTGTAATGGGCCAAATATGTTGCCAACCAACAAACCTTTACATCTTAGGTTATGGTACACGTATATAGGATGTCTATAATGGTGTTCACCCTCTAATTTAAAAGGGGATCCATTTCGAATAAAATATAATTTATTTTCGAAATGAGCCCCTCCATGTGAGGGGTAGACGCCTTTATGGACACTTTATTACGTACAAGTAGCAGACGCCGTTTTAGACATTGCATTATGTACAAGTAGCATATTACTGACGTCTTTGTCTTAATTTAACTTGTTCATTGTAATTAATAATTAAAAAAATTAAAAATTTATGCCTCACTATATTAAATTTTAAAATCTTATATTTGCTTGTCATAGTTTTTTTTATTCTACATTTAGTGCCTTATATCTAAATGCACAAACATGGGAGGAGATTGAAATATGGATAAACTTTTCCACTTGTCTCATCCACTTCCATATCTAGGGTGTTAAATGGAACGAACCGAGCTGTTCAACTTTTCGACAGTTGGCCTTGGTTTGTCCTACCACGCGATCTAGCTCGTGTTCAGGTGTGATAAGGCCCATTTGTTTTAAGAGTAATTTTTTATTTTTATTTTTTTAACAATAAAAATCCTTTTTTCTTAATGAATTTTTAATGTATCAACCTAGTATAATTTTTTTATCCTCCTAACTTAGTCTCTTCCTATTATGCGAGTCGAGCGCGAGTTGGCCTGCTTCAACAAATTTGAATTCAACTCAACCCCACCAACTTGCCACTTGGTGGGATGAGCGAGCTAGCAACTCATATTTTCACTCAACTATTACGAGATGCAAGCCCACTCGTGAGATTAGATGTGCGGTTTGCATGAAAATTTTGCTGTTTGAATTACAGCCACTACTTACCTCGAGTGTAAGCCGCATCAACTTAGGGTTGGCAACGGTTCGGTTATGGGTCGGTTCGGCCAAAATCATAACCGCACCACCAAATTTTTGACCATACCATAACCGCACCATAACCACGTAAATCGGTTCGGTTCGGTTCGACTTTTATCTCGGTTCGACACGGTTCGGTTCGATTAATAACCACGAAAATAAATTATTTTTTATAGGTTCATCCGTCAAATTGATATAAAACAATTTATGAAAAAAGTCAATGAAAACAAAAACACAATATTCCAAACGAAAATGCAAACATTATCAAACAATATTCCAAACGTAAATGCAAACATTATCCTAATTTTTAATTGTAAAATACAAATTTAACAAACAATATTATAAATATAATAATACTAAACTTTTCCTTCATTCTTAATTGTTGTGCATCGAAGTTACTTGATGCATTCTTCCCTACAAGTCTTACTAGCATAGATCAGCATTCAAAGTTGATTCCTATTCATCCTTGGCAATATTGGCACGTCTAGAAAAACATCGAACTCTGTTTTTACATGATCAGCAGTAATAGAATGACTAACAAATGTAACAAATTTTCGGAGGTGACGACGATTTGGACCGTAGAGGCAATGGAGCCGTGCGTGAGTTTGTGGTTGTGGAGAGTAGGGTTTGCATTTTTATACTATCATACTAATACTATTATGGGCTAATGGTAAGTAGACTGGCCAAATGAGTTAGGTAGATGTAATGAGGAGGGGAGGGATTTTGTTTTGATTTGGATAGAAAAGTAGTGTAAAGCCCATTATCAATTCAATTTTTTTTTTCAGCTGGTAATCGGTTCGGTTTCGGTTCGACGACGTAAATACCATACCCGCACCATTACGAAACGGTTCATTAAAATCAAAACCATATCCGTCCCATTGCACCATTGGTTCGATTTTTTTCGCCCCATTCGGTTCGGTTAACCGCGATTTTCGATTTTGACGGTTCAAATTGCCATCTCTACATCAACTCAAGTAACCTACCATCACCATCCATCAAAACCACCTATTCCCCTAACCCATCGCTTCATCTACAAACAGTGTCTCTAAAATATGCGCATATGTTCGGGGAGTTTTCAAAAATATTTTGAATATGGATATGCACATGATAATGCAGTTAATCCATTTCGTTGATAGCATATGCACGTTTAAATGCTAAAATGCACATGAATTTGTATTATTATTATTATTATTATTATTATTTAATCAAAATTAGCATAAAGCTCAGCCCATTTTTATAAATTAAAGAAAGTAAATTGAACCCAACATTAACCAAATAACCTAGCCCATGAATTATACAGTAATTTGTAGTATTTTGACATTTAGAAAAGTAAAACATTAAAATAAATTCTCCATAGAGTTGCAAACTAGCTAATTTGAACTTGAGCTTACTTTTTCTTTGGTCTTCCTCCAGTTTTACTAACAAGTGATGCTAGTAATACTCAGTCTTGAATTGTTTGATGGTTGATGATAACGAAGAGGTTAACAATGATATCTTACCATTTACTAGAAGTAATATAAATTCTCGAATTGAAATAAGAGTGTCCAATGAAGATGATTTTGCATCAGATGACACAAAAGAGACTTGGATGAGTAAAAGGAAATTGAATTGAAATTCGATAAAGAGTTAGAAAACATTTAGGACTTTCTAAACTTAGTGCTCGTGTCTAATTTAATTGGAGGAATTGATTACTAAGTAACTATTGTATGTATAATTTTGAGCAATATGATTTTGTTAAGATTTTGAAGAATATGTATAGAGTTCAAAATTGTAGTATTTATGATTTTGAGCAATAAATATATTTTTTGTAAGATTTGAAGAATATATAAAGTCCAAAGAATGCATTATTTTATATGTTTATTAGTTTAGAATATTTAAAATAATAATAAAATTAGACAACACATAAATACGTATATTCTTTGCATAAGCATGCATATATTTGTAATGCTTTACCACACATAACGGATATCAGAAACTTGCCTACAAACCTTTCCTCTTTTTAAGGACACATACTCACATAAATGAAAAGGAAATCAGATGCTTGAAACTACTGTATTCTTACCTATCCTATCTTCTATATCACCAATGGCGATAATTTCCATTTAGATCCTCATTTTCTTGCATTGTCTGTAGATCTATTTTTTGATCTAGTTTTGTATGTTTGTTGTTTGATTGTGGTAATGGTAATGGTTGGATTTTACCCTTTTATGGTGGTAATGGCAGCGATGGAAAATTGACCATTGTGATGGTTTTTATGGTGAGTAGGTTGTGACGTTGTGTGGAGATTATTACGCTGGTGCTAAGGTTTAGCAGTGGTGGTTCCAATGTTGATCGTGGTTATGGCATGGTGATGGTGGAAACATGGGTCGCGGGTGGTGAAATCAGTATAACCCAATTTTATAGAAATTAACATCGTTTTACAATATTTATTAGACAAAAATTAAAGTAAAAAAGAATAAAAAAATAGTATTTTGTAAATAAAAGAGTTTCAAAAATATATATAGAACTAATAAATTTATAGAGATATTTTAAAATTGTTCCCTTAATTATATATCATCAATTATATGACATACATAAATATGTGTTCTCAAACTTGACACATGGGAGAAAAAGTAAATTACACTCACTTTCTTCGACCTTTAATCTTTAGAGAAATTTTGTCCAAAAATCTTTTTGATGTTATTGATACCTTGTCATTGCCATGCGTAAGGATGACAATAGGGTGGGAATTAATTGTTGGTTACAAAGCTGATTATACCATTTATTATACTGTGTCACGTTACCTAGTACTTAAGAGATAAGTCTTGTGTGTATGAGTTTATCTGTGAGTGATTTTGAGAATTAATTTTTTGATCGTTAGGAGAAAAGCGGTGTTCATCTGTGAGAGAAGAAGTCAAATATGACAGTTGAAATAATGACATAATAAAAAATCAATTTTTTGGGAGAAAAAATCACTCTTTTGGCTCTATGCGTATATATACACACACAATTGTACTTCAAAATTTGGAAAAAAAAATTGAAAAACCCAAAACCAAATTCAATTGAAACAACCATTCTCCGCCATCAACATTCACGAGAGGAACCTCTCACTTTTCATTACCAAACTTTGAAGCAAAACCCACTAGCCCAGCAATTCAAAACCCCATCCATAACTCCTTCCTGCCGGCGATTCAACAATTGGAAAAGGAAAATCGCAAATGACAAAATCGCAAACGATTCAGGCAGGAGCGCTGATGCCTACTCCCACCTCTCGTCGTTGCTACTTGCTTCCAGTCCTCCACAGCCGCCCGACAGTAACAATTGAAGCCCTAAACGAAGTGATAAGGTCAGTACATTACCGGTTTTGATTTAGTGATTTTTCTTCTCGCCCAGTGACTTCGGTCCAATAATTGTGATTTGAGCCTTTGTGAACAGTGAATATATGATTTTTGAATGGTTGAACTCATCTGCTTCCTTGGTCATTTGTCAATCTCTTGAATATGTCATTTTGTCAATTTATGATTTGTAAATTTGCTTTGGACAATTGATTTATGAATTGTGTTTCTGATATGTGAGATTTAGATTGAAAACTTCACCAAAAATTCAAAATAGAGGTGGCATTTTTAGAAAATGTGAAACCTTTAGGCAATGGTGAGATTTATTTTGTGATTATAGATAGAAAAATTAATTTTTCACTTATTGTTTGTGTTAGTTATGAAAGTACTTTTAAGTTAAATTTGTATATTCTTGTGATGAGCAAAATATCAATGAAAGGAATGTTTGAAATATACAAGTACACCTTGGTAGACTAGATTTTTGTTTGTGCTTAAACTTAAAAACATTTCTAATTTCTACAGCCAAGAACAAGTTAATAGGCTAATTCTCGATTCTCGAAACTTCTATGAACTAAAACCATTAAAATTTAAGAAAAAATTGAACCGATTGAACCCATCGATTAAATTTTGTTCACTTGGTTTCGATTCTTTTCTCCATCACTAGTTTTAGCATTTTTGTTTCATATAACTTTGTGCATGTAATTGGATTTTTTTTTTTTTTTTTTGATGTGTTTGATTGTGATTAAACTAGCCCCTCCCATCATTATTATTCTTCAAGTTCTTTTTTTGCCCTGATTAAATATACGTATGGTTTCTGTTCTTTATTTGGACACATCTCTGATTAAATCGTCATGATATGTTAAAATTATATTGTCAACTATATTATACCTAAATTTGATGATGAGCTTATTCAAATTAACTTTTGGTTGGAAAGGAACACCAGCATGATTATTTTTAAGAAAAAACTAATAAGTAATCATTTTGATAGCAAAATTTACACATTTACAAACTCTTTTATTAATATTTTTTTCCCATTATATCATGGATTCATTTGGTTTTGTAGAAGGTCAAACGAGGAATTCTTAATTGAACAATTTTGCAATATTGTGCTATGAATGCTTAAGACAAATGGGATGAAACAATATTTACAAACTCCCTAAAACATTTTACTCTATCATTTTGGTGGTTTAGAGGTCAAAAATAGAATTCTCGATAGGTCACTTCAGTAGACAAATGGCATTGCGATATACTATTGTTCTCGACAATTAACTACAGTAATTCTCGATAGATGGCTGAATACCGATAGATGAGTTAAGTCATCTGTCGAGACTAACTCTTGTTCTCGACAGATGAATTGACGAAACCCATAGTTACAGTCAGTTTTTCTCAATACATAACAGTTTCTCAAGAAATCAATTTGGCAGCCATTTGTACACGTCCAACATTGGTTCATCCGAACATTACACGTGTTTTTGGCATTAACATATACGAAATATTATGATCAGACATTTTTTGATTTGTTGGTGTAAATTGGTCCACAGGTCCATCTTTGGTTTATCCGAACGTTTCACGTGTGTTTGACATTAACATGTAGAAGTATTATGATCTAACCCATTTTTTGCTTTCTTTTGCAGATGAATTTTGAATTCCCCGCTACTGACAATGCATGATTGTGCGCCCACATTTCGCAAAAAGCATTTTCAAGTACCTAAAAATCGTTATGGAGTATTTTAATGGTTGATAGTGGGAAGATTTTTGCAACTCATGCCTTGGGTTCTTGGCCGAGGTTCCAAACATAAAATTCTTAGCCCAATTAATTCAACAAATAGTGTTCAGGTCCATCCGAACTGATAAGGCAAACGAATAGTGGTTCAATATACAAGGGCACTTGATTAGGTTCAAACTGCAAAAGTACGCGATCGTGAAAGGATTAAAATGTGGTCTCATTCTGGAAGGCGATCAATTTACTTGATTGATAGAAAAAAGGAGGCTCAAGGACAAATATTTCAAATCGATGGAGAATATTTCTTGTGCCAAACTCGAGAAGACTTTTCGTCGATCGTTGATGCTTCAAGCTGATCGATACAAGCTCAACCTTGCTCTAATTGTCGAAGCAATATTTAACGCTCCAGATAATAATATGGTTCTTAATACTGACACATTGTCAATCGTCGACCACCTCAACATATATTTTGACTACCCTTGGGATAGAGTGGGATATAATTGTCTATTGAGGGGATTTAGGGGTAGTTGGGTAAGAAAATTTCACGAGACTAAGAGAAAGAAGGAGAAGAAGATTAGTTATACAATCCACGGCTTTTCCATACTATGCATGTATGAATAATTATTTCAGATGACTTTTCATTATTTTAATACAAATATATTGTTATGTCTATGGAAAATCTTGTTACAATTGCATTTTTTTAGACAGATGTGGGCATTAAAGGTAGTACCTGAAATTGGTGAATGGTTTAGTTAGAGACCTGGTCAACAATCGCCACGACTTCTTAGCTGGACGTCTATAAAGCAACCGTAGCAACGTATACAATACATTCTCATTGTGTTGAATGCATGCAATCTTTTCATTTGCGTTGAATGCATGCAACCTTTTTATTTGGAAACTGTATACAATACATTCTCATTGACACTCAATTTATGTTTTCACAGCTACATGTGCATACAACATTGCGTCGCATTGACGACGAGCATACTCAATCATATATCTTCATGCTTATGCCGTTTGAAGATCGTACTATCCCTGCTTTGGACAACATTGTTAGGAATATTATCGTTCTACTGTTTCACACAAAGCACGTGGGCAGTGAAAGTAATGATGAATCGTCTATGGGGAAGGTAGCTGAAAAAAAAGACCAAAAAAAGAGGCTTGACGGATGTGACGTCTAGTGGTGATGACAAATCAGGTGAAAATAGTGATCATGACAAGTCAACTGATGATGACAGTGAAACTGGCAAAGGTGACAGTGGAGCTAGCAATGGTAAACATTCTTTTGGAGGGTATACGAGTCAATTTTCACGCCTTGCGTGCCCAAATATACTTTTTACGTGTAGCATTGTTGACATCGGACGACAAGCTACAACTTCTGGAGCAACTTGAACAAGAGCAAAAGTTGGGGAATTGTTATTGGATCAATGAATCCTCATTGAAATGCAACTTCGGACCGTGAAACTTGAAATCAATTAGCATATGACCTCTGAATTTGCAAGACCTAGGGAGTTCATATCCACACGTGACCCAATCCAATTCTATCACCCCTACAACTACGATAGATGTCGACAATGAGCCCAGAGTTACTGCAAATTACAGCAAGGTATGAGTGTTAATTGTTTAAAAGTTCATATGGTAAAACAATGTTGGATACCGTCATAGACACCAGCACGATTCCGACGTTACTGACATGGTCCTACCTAATGGTAAGTTCACGCCATTAGATTCATAATATTGATTTTAGGTAGTCGAGCAGATAATTTGATGTTCGTAGGCTATGTTATGTTATTATTTGGCATTTCGAAAAAGTAATTCAATCCATACTACTTTTGCATAGGCGACGTCACTGATTGTTGGTGGTGGCTATCATACCCATCGAAGGCAACGATGTGGTTAACACAAAAAGACGATGATCGACACGCGTTCGAGTTCTTGTAGCATCTACCAGGACTCCATACACTAGGGAGAGGAGAAAGAGAATAAAGAAATAAATGAGTCACTGTTTATTAGTACTATGCTTGAATCAATGTAATTTAATACTATCAATCCCATATTTGATTTATAGTTTATGGTTTACGGTTATCTTTGTAAGGCAAAGTGATCTCATGTTAAGTAAGTTGTATATCTACACTCAATTTTGTGATTGGATTGAATCTCTTGTTCTACTTATGGGGTTTCTTAAACTTTGAATTTTGTATTATGGCTTTTCGAACAATCGTGGAAAATTTTGTTCGAATTTAGAAAAATTCGAAACTTTTTGTGCTTCTATTTATTTGAGAATTGTTAAAACTTTATTGTAATTATTTGTTGTATTCCAGGGTTACTTTGAAAACTTTAGATAAATTCAGAAGTTTTGAATTTTAATGGAAATCTTGGCTTCAAAAAGATTGAAGAGATTCGGGTGAAAAGAGTTCACAATTATGAAGAATTCTTTTAATTGTTGTAAAAAAGTACTAGAAATGAAGCTATTTTACAGTTTTTGAAGAACGATGACATTTTGTTCAAATTAGTAAGAGAATCTTGTATAGATTTCTTATTATCTGTTATAGCAAGATAAAATTTGAAAAACATTAGCTTTTGGCTTGTTGAAAAAGGAGCTATTTTCAGTATTCCTAGAATAATTGTTGAGAACTTCTAGCAACTTATTCAGTCGTTGTCCCCTTCAAATACAAATTGTTTAATTTTTTTAATCTATGCTATTATGTAGTCAATTACACTATGGCACATGCCTCGTACTTGCCTCGCACTCGTATTTGTAGTTACACATTTTATCATTTCTTATTTCTCATAGTTGTTGGATTGTTAGATTAGCACAAGATATTTTTTTTATTTTTTATTTTTAGATTTCTTGATTGAATTCTGATTATGAGAATCTTCAGTTAGGGAAAAAGACTTGAGGACCATGATACAGTTAAGATAAAACAGTACTCATGAAAATTGATTACCACCAATTATATGTAGGAAACTTTAAGATAAAATGGTACACATGATTCACGATTCATAATTTCCATGAATTATGGACAAAGTTTAGGGGATAAAGGTACACTTAGACCTTAAACCATCACACCAATTGTCATTCAAGAAAATTTGATCTGTAATTTGGTGGTTGTGTACTAAATGACTATAATTGTTTCCCTCCAAGAATTTGATTATAAGAGCGTGGCAAAACTTTATTCTTAGTTGCACTTAAACACTTATCTAGCTTTGTTATACTTTAAAGGGAAAATTGCAGCCGAGGTACAAAACTTTTAGTTTATTAGCAGATTTTGCCCAAACCTTTAGTTTGTGCCATCTACGATACCAAACCTTTCAAAAACTCGCAGTGGAAGTCCAAATGGATGAAAACTGTTAATTTGATCGTTAGTTGACCAAATATTTAATATTGACCATTATTTTGACTAATTTTAAAAGGATAAAATGGTAACTTTACATTTTTCAACCAAAAAAAAATTACAATATATTAATAATGAAATTAAAATACAAAACACTATTCATCTTCTTCTCCAACCCCCCTCCCCCCCCCCTCACACACACACACTCACCCATCCAACCACCCACTTCACAAAACCAACACCCACCAAAAAATCGGCACCGACCAAAAGCCATTTTCTTATCAAATTTCCCTTTACTCATATCACCTCTCTTCTTTCCTTCTTAATACTAAATTCTTACGACTCCTTCACCCCAGCCATTTGACTGTTATTCTGAATTTTTGTTTGCTTGAATTATGTGTGAATTATTGTCATGTTTACTATAACTTGGTATTGTAATATTAATAACTATTTTGAAGTTTTATATAGATTATATGTTGAATTAGTGTCAAAAATTAGCTATTTCCACTTAATTTCATTGTACTTTTAGATCTTTGTGTTACATGGAACCAGTTATATAGCTTAATTTGATGTGGGTATTCAGAGACTCGTTTTGAGTAGAAGGGATCTAATTGCTTTGAGTTTTCTCGTAGATCTAGTAATGCATCAAATGGAGTGGGGAAAAACCTCTAATTTAATGGCAATAAGACTTTCTTCTTGTCATAATCTGGGATCAACTTCATAAAAGGAGTCGAGAAATTGATTGAGAATAAGGTTTTGTTGCCTCTATTTTGTTTGTTATGGATTTAATTTTAAAGAAATGTCTTGGACAAAGTGAGATCTAGATCTGTACTTAAAGCTTCCAAAGTAAGCAGTTTGGTTGATGGTAATTGTTGATGACTTCATCAAAGTTCAATTTAAATGATGTTTATGCGTCGTTCCTTGTATTGGTTAAGCGTCAAATTTTGCTGCAACAATTATTAAGGATGGTTTCTTGATTTTTAGTCTTGATGTTCAGAATGTATCTAAGTAGGTAAATCAGTTTTTGTTCCCCTCGAATCACACCTATACTAGATTTGAGATCCATTCATTAACAACATTCTACACAACAAAACTCTGGAGGAATGAAGCCGTTCAAGCCAGTTTGGACTGAGATCAAGCTCTCACAGTGTGTGTTTTGGTGGGTGTTGGTTTTGGGAAGTGGGTGGGTGGATGGGTGAGTGTGTGTGAGGGGGAGGGTGGAGAAGAAGATGAATAGTATTTTTGTATTTTGATTTAATTATTAATATATTGTAATTATTATTTTTTTGTTGAAAAATGTAAAGTTACCATTTTATCATTTTAAAATTAGTCAAAATAATGGTCAATGTTAAATCTTTGGTCAACTAACGGTCAAATTAACAATTTCCATCCATTTGGACTTCCACTGCGAGTTTTTGAAAGGTTTGGTATCGTAGATGGCACAAACTAAAGGTTTGGGCAAAGTCTGCTAATAAACGAAAGGTTTGGTACCTCGGCTGCAATTTTTCCTACTTTATACATCAAACATTTACAAAAAGTTTCACTCAACACAACCATATCGATATAATGAGTTCGTCATGGGAAGCAACGAACCGTTCAACTTGAATGAGCCTCTGCCAATACTCGATTCGTCCCCATTTTTTCCATCATAATTTCGTCGGATGATGAGGAAGTCAACCCTCAAAATGGTAGGAAAGTCATTTCAAGCAAAGCCTTGCAATTATCTAATAGTGTACTTGTTGATGTGTTCGAGTTCATGATTTCATATGAAGATGAATCCAACAATGATGAGTCGTTGGTGATGGTTCCACCTCCTGAGATAATTGTAATAAGCTTGGATGATTCTGAAGAAGACAGTGGTAGGGAACATTCAAATGTCAACAACAGTTGAAGTGAGCAAGCCCTTTTCCTCCCTAAGTCCTTCTCAAGGAAAGGATACTCATACATTCAAATGTACGACCCTTACTCCATTCCTTAGGAATGGCGGGTTAATTACGTATGTCTATGTACTAAATTATGTATTATAGTTTTGTAAGGGATGAATATGGTAATGTCTTTACCAAACGTTCTGCAATGACATAACTTTTATGCATCTTAGTTGTAGTTAAATTTTATGCTTTGCACCAATTGTCGAGAATGAAGGATCTGTCGGGAGTGACAGTTTAATTGTCATGATGTTATGCAATATTTTGTCGATATAAGTATTTTGCATGTGAACTTAAACACGACTAATATCTGCAAGGGATATTGAAATAAAAATGATAACATAAGTTCGAAATGATAATGTAAGTTGAAAATGTGTTTGGGAACAACATGTCCCTTGTGAATCTTATTTGTAGTTTGAGTTTCTACTTTGCAATTATCTGTCGAGAATGATAGAAACCTTATGTGGGGACCGACAATTTAATCGTCGAGATGTTACGCAATATTTTATTTATGTAATTGTTTTGCTTATCAACTTAACCCGACTAATGTCTGCAAACGATAATGAAATGAAATTAATTCTACGTCTATTTCCTGCAATTATATGTTTCAGGTGATGAATTTTCGAATCTTTTATTGTAACTTCATTAGTCAGATGCTAGGCTAAACACATTAGAGTTCAGATGAAGATAAAAATATTTTTTATTCGTTTGAATTCAAATACCATATATTAGTTTATTTATGTTATTGATTGATATTGCATGCTTATGGATTATTGAACACTTGATCATCAATTAAATAATGTGTTGTTTATGATACTTTTAGAAGGTTTGAAATAGGTCTAGAACAATGCAATAATCAACTTAAGGCTCAACAAACATCAGGAATAGTAATTTATGGCTTATGCAATCAAATGATTAATTGTGCAAGTGAATACATTGCTTCACATACGAATTCAAGATATGAGTATTTTGAGTCATGCTTGTTTGGCTTACTTAGGTGGAGATAGTTAAATAACATAAAATTATTGATTGTCAATTATACATAACTTATACTAGAGAACATATATTGATAACTGAAACGTAAGAATAATAGGTGGAGTCGGAATTTCAACAACAACAAAATTCTCTTCTTTTTTTTTTTTAATTTTTTTATCACATTCGAGTTTGATATTGAATTAAAAGGATTCAACTTAAAATCTATTTTTCATGGAACGATACTTTTACTCCTAGCTATTACTTACAACTATATCATATGCTTGTGAGGTTTCACCAAATTAAGTGACTTCAAGTCTTTTTTCTTTTTCCTTTTTTATCCAAAAGTTACTTGTTAATACTACTTGGATACTTGTTAAAGTTTTATTTTTTCATAAGTTTAAATAAATTAATAAATTGTATGTTGATAAGTTTGTATTTTAGGACAAAATATAGTTCTATCTTATAAAATTTAGGTTTCTTTTTCAAATTTCTAGCTGATCATTGGATAACCAGGGAGATAGGTGTTCACCTTGAAAAATGTACCTTCAACATGGTCAACAGCTTGCATATTTACGTAGATGCTCTCCTAGACACTAGGATGCAACTATTAGTCATCTGTGGAGGCTGCGAACACTCTAATGATCAAGTTAGTCAGTAATGATAGGATATGGTTTGGTACATTTGTAATGTGAGCCACTAAGAGATAGGCATAGGTAAATGTAAATAACGAGAGAGAGAGAGAGAGAGCAATATATATGTGTGTGTCTGCGCGCTTTGGATTGCATTACCTTCAAATGGCTAAGTGTTTGAGTTTATATGGTGGTGAATGTGGAGTACCAATCGTAGGATGAGAAAAGACATGGATTCATCTGGCGGCAAGGGCGTCGCATGACTCTTCCTAAGTATCAATTCGTCAATCACTGGTTGCTGGTA